AAGTAGATATGCATTTTTAACAATCTGCTTATTGAGACCTCGATAATCAATGCAAGAGCAAAGTCCGCCATCTTTTTTAGATGCAAAGAATACAAGTGTTCCTCATGGTGATATTCTTTCTTTAATGAGGCCTTTTTTTTAAGAGTTTGTCCAATGTCTTTTATAGCTCTTCAAGTTTTTTTGGTGTTAGGTAATAAATTGGTCAACTTGTTGCTTTGGCTCCAAGTAATAATTCTATTTAAAAGAAGACACTTCAATCAAGAGGTACTTCATTAGATAGGACGATTGAAAAAACATCTTGATATTTTTATATGAATTGCTCTGTCTATTCTATTCTTTTGGCTGTCTTTCCTACCACTAACGCGAGATTTGGAACAACCATATATACCAATTGCTCATGCTATAGTTGCTTCTTCATATAGGTCGTTCCTATAATGAAGTCTTTAGTTATAGACTGTTTTTTTTCTTCACTTAATGTGGAGGTACAAAGAATCACCTTAGGTCTTCAATCTTTAAAAAAGATTGTCCTTGCTATCCAACCAATTTTTTTATTTTCCATCTCTAGCCATGGCATACCAAGGATAACATCATACCTTAGTTTTATCACCTTCAATTTTTCTCTTAAGACATAAGTGTCTGTCAATCTCAAGGTTTCTTCTTCACATGTCTCACTCAATATGTTTTTTTGGTCATCTGTAAGATATATAATTCTTCCATTGATTTCCTTGATTTTAATTTTAAGTCAGTTGACAATTTCAGTTGAGATGCAAATTTTTGTAGAACCACAATCTACAAGCACTCAACATGGTTGTCTACTTAGTAGTTCCATTAGATGTACTAATTGACTCTTTTTATAATTGTCCAAGGCTATGCCATTTGTCTTTCAGAGACAATAGCTACTCTTAATATTGGCCTCCGACGCCTTTATTGGATAGCCTCATTTTTTTTTATCTAATTCATTATCAGCTTGGTGAGTTTCAAGACTAAGAACCCACCTTGTCTTGTTAATACTTGTACTTTGATGTTTTGGACAACCTTCGATCTAATAGTCTAGCTCTCGACAATAGAAATATAATTCTTTTTGTACCAATATTTATTATCTTTGTGGTGTTAATGATCCTTGTAAGGCATCAATCTCCATTGGCGTTAGTTGTTGTGACATAATATTAGATAGAAATATAAGACTTCATGCTATATGTCTTACTCTACAATTCTTGAAATCTATAGCATCGACTCTCTTTTTAATCCAAAATAGGTGATAGGCCCCACCTAAATAACTACCTTAAATTCTTTTTAGAAGGTTTCATAGTAGATCCTACCTAAATAATTATCCTAAGCTCTTTCTAGAATGTTCCACGATGGATTCTATATGGCCTACTAACCTAACTCCAATTCTAGAAACTTCCATGGTTCTATCTATCTATACAATTATCTTATTTATACCCTGTTACATTTTTTGCTAACAAAAGCTATCAAAAGCAATCATTTTTTTCAACTTTCATAGAATATTTGCTCTTGTTTCTTCTTTAAATATATACAATGACTCTACTTCCACCATAATAGTATTTATCTTTTTATCTTATGAAATATCTTATTATAGTTGCACTTCTTGACTTTGTACTTAGATTTAATATCTTATAAGAATCTCTTTCTATTTTATGCCTTATATACTTATGATCCTTGATTTTACATGAAAAAAATCCATAAAAAAATAAATTGAGGCTATTCAAGGTTTTTACTTTATTTTGTATTTAATCCTTCTAACTTTTCTTCAATTATGTCAATGTGGAATTGGATTTAATTAAGTGTGGAAACATAACATCTAGTATTTATTACCATGTTTTTTCAAAAATTAAGTAACTGGTGATATAACTTTATCAAATAAACTTACAAACAAATTTATAAGAATGTCATTGAAATTAGCCTTAAATATAGTGAATTTTTTTCTAAATTGTATTGTAATATTTGAAACAAGCTTAGAAATAGTGGATCAAATTTAAAATTAAATCTAAAAGAATTAGATGAATCTATTAATAGTAGGAAGAATCTATAATCAAACATCTAGTAATTTTAGAATGTTAGATCTATTAATTGAGAATTTATTCAAATTAAGAATCAATGCTCTTTTTATAAATTTTACACCTTTATGAAGCAACAATCTAAGTTTGAGTTTAAAATTTCTAAGTAAATTTTAATAGAATATTTCAACATGCTCGCTCTCCAATTTCCTATGTTTTTTCTTTTTTTTTGAAAAAAATTGGAATAGTAATTAGGATTAAATCTAAGAAATAGCTACAATTTAATAGCACATAATGGTGGAGCCAATCAATTGAGTTAAGAGGTTTTGGACACAATTCTATAAGGCTCCCTCCTACCCTCCTCTTTCCTCTCCTTCTCTCCCTCCATTGAAACATGAAACACAAAAAAAAAATATTAAAAACCTTTATATAAAAACTTGGTTTGTGAAATACATTTTGAAATATTAAATGGATATAATTACTTTGATTTACTTCTATTATATTAAAACTTTGGATTTGTATTTAAAAGACATTAAGTTTTGAAGCAAGTTGGATGTATAAGATAATAGTTTTATAATATAAGTTATTATTTTATTAAAAATAAAAAATAGAGAAGGCTTTTAATTTAAGATCTATACTTCAGTTGAATTTATGATTATTTAAAAAATTATTTTTATATAAATTAACTTTTGATACATAAATTTTAGAATTTTTTGAACTTACTAGTTTATGAAATACTTCTTGAATATTTAAATTTTAGACTTTCAAAGTATATAAAGAATTTTGTGTAATGTATTATTACACTTTCAAAATATTATTTATAATATACTATATTTATTATTTAGAGATAGTTGGTACATTTTAAAGTCTAAAATCAACCATATTCTTCTTAAAATATTCACAAATTATAAGACTATATTTATATATTTTGGTAATACATGTTGAATATGAAATCTCAAATATTCATTATTATTATTATTATTATTACCAAAAATAATATATATATATATATATATATATATATATATATATAGATTATTTGAAAAAATTATCATTCATGCTATTGAAATAATAATTAATATACAAACACCATGTTTAGAATCAAGTCACTTAATTAATCCTTTGTATTAATAAAATATATCAATTCACATACTTATTTATATAAGTATTTTTATCGTTTTTACTATAAAATAACCTATCCAATTTTCTTCTACACTTCCTAAATTCTCTATTTAGATTTCTTTTGCTACAAACATATCATTTACAAAAAAATTATCTAAATATATAATCTTGAGATTTCTTACAAATTCAATTCAATTTCATTTCAGTTTGGTCAACCCATTTGAAGATTTTTGAAATACACGTAATAAAAAATTGCTTCTACCAAGTTCCACTTACAATCCAACTTCATTTTGTCTATTTATCATTCACAATGCTAGTTTCTATGCCTAGTCTCAGCACACATGGCGACTATCTTATTTATATTTTGTGTGCATTAAAGTAGACGAAGACAGAGCTTTTGAGGTTGCTGACCTTCATCGAACACACAAAGATCGGAACCTGTTTTGAAAGTTTGGCATTTCATTCTTGCCAAAACGCTGTTGGAAGCAGATGAATTCATTGTTCATGCACTGTCTGCTAAACATGGAGGCAGAGGAGTGGATGGGTGTTGCAGGAATGAGGCCCAACAACGCACTTCTCAACACTCAACACACGGTTTGCATCAGAATGAATCGAAGTGAATCGAAGTGTGTGATGTGAGTCAGAACCGCTCTGAAAACATCGCCGGGATGCCTCTTTTGCATTCCCACAGTAACGTCTCTCTGTGCATCTCGGGACCTGTGCCCTGATCGAGCCACAAAAATGTTCTCTGATTGCCATGTCTTCACTTCTGCCAGTGCCAATCAAAAACCACAACAAAAACAACAACAGCAGCAGGCATGTGTGAGAGGATGCGGTGATGCGTGTAGAATGGGTTGGGAGTGGAAAGATAGAATGAAGCACAGACGAATTGAATTGCATTGCATTGCAGGGCTGGAGAGACAGACGAGTGAGTTGGTTGAGGTTGGGGGCAGGCCACGGGGGTTGAGGTGTGCGAGAAGGAAGGCTCCCTCCTCCCATAGGGAATGGCGGAGAAGAGGGAGGGAGGAAGTAGAAGGACGAGGGAGGGAGGCGAGTGAAGGTATGTCTTTGAATAAACCCAAAGACTGCAGCAAAGTAAAGATATACTATTCCACGGGGGATGACACTTGGACCCATCCGGCATCCCACATGCCGGATACAACACCCTACAGTCTGACGTGGAAGGAAGCCCATTCATTCAACACTCTCCATCCGTGTTGTGTAGTGTGGTGGAACTGCGAATGTCTTTAGGCTCTACGATGTGTGCAACGTGCACTGTAAAGAGCTTAGTCGGGTGCTGTGCTCTGAGGCATGCCGCAGTTTGGCAGCTGGATCGAGTGGGAACGGAGAAGAAGATACAGAGCTGTGCAAAGAACTGCAAGTGCAGAGCCGCGCAGTGCATGGGGCTGTCCAGCTACCTATTCAATGTGTCACCTTTGATGATTTATGACCTTTGATAATTAATATTTTTTCGTGCATTAGATGATATTGATTAAGGAGAGATACATTATATATAGTAGCCAAAGTTTAATCATTACAAAGATACTGATAAAAAAACACTTACAACTTTACAATCATTCAGCTTGCTAAAGAGTTTAATTTCTTGTTTGTGTGAATATATATATATATATATATATCTATGTGTGTGTGTGTGTGTGTGTGTATATGTATTGTGCTTTCTAATTAATATAAATGTAATACATTGTGAATATAACACCGGCCCATTGAAATGTTCACGTTCCCACAGCGGGAGTTGGGTCGAGGTTATACCGGGGCCTTGCCGTTCACGTTGATGGCGTCATTGGGGTAGAGCCCAACGGGATCAGGCCGGCAAAAGAAGAAACCTTTCTCTTTCTTTCCACCTTCTTCGCTTGAAATTGCCCTTTCAGCTATGGAAATCTCGCTTGATCGCACTTCGTAATCCGCACCTGGTGCCTGGACGGGGATAGAACAAGCAAGAGCTACACTAGAGTCTTTGTTTTCTCTGTTGGGTTGCTTTTCTCTTCTTTTTTTTTTTTCTTTTTTTTTTGCACAGTCTTCTGGGTCGACAATGAGTGAGAGCCAAAACCAACCCAAGCTGTTGCTGCGCAAGCCCAAGAAAGGATTGCATCCTCCTGGTACTTGTGTGCCCTTGGTGCTCCCGATGTTGGGGTTTTGTCCTTCGTATTCATCAAAATGAGGGTTCTCTAGGTTCTACTGTAGATTATGACTCTAGCAGGGGCTAGCATTTGAGGTATTGAGTTTATGGCAATGTTATGCGGTGGCAGGGGGTGAGATGGCCGACTCCGCAACTAGAGTGCCTGTGCAGCAGCCTGCAGTAGCTGTTCCAGCGGTTTCAGCGAAGCTGGCATCATATTATCGTTACAGGGCAGGCGTTGGAGCTCTGTTGCTTGTTAATCTCGGTATTGGAGGTTTGTTTTCTCTCGCCCTAATTCTGCACATTCTCTTGAGGATTTTTAATTTTTCTTTCATTGATTGCATTCGTGCGTTGGTGTTTTAGTGAAGAGAGTGATATCGTGGCATTGCTGAGAAGCAGTTCTTCGCATATGTTTGTGGAAGTCTACCTTGCTGGTTTAGAAATGGTTTATTTTTTTGAGCCCTTGGAATGATTTGAACTTGGAAGTTCACGAATGAGGTCGTGGATCGCTCATGAGCCTAAGCTTGAAAGATTTCAAAGACCTTTCACGATTCGGTTCGTGTTGCAGAGGTGTGATCTAGCCATATCGTGAAAAATAAATCTTGGGGATCCTGTTTTAGTTTAACTGTATATGCGTACTTGGTTTCGATTTTGACCTAGTCTAGTTGTGGGAAAGGTAAAGTACTTTGGCTGGACCAAAGAGGAGCCACTTACATTCAACTTTCATTCTCTTTTATTCTGTGTCAAGTTTCGAAAGAAGTGTTTACAGTTGCTTTTTTCCATCGCTAGGATTTTCAGTCTGTTGCATTTCAAGAGCATGTTCAAGCTATTAAAACTTGTATATAGGGACATTGAGGTTTAGGATTCATTCGGTAGAAATAAGTACGAGAAGTCTTATTAATAAATTCTGTACGACTTTCAGCAAAACACACTAGGCAAAATGTGATATTCGAGTTCATACCAGGGTTTATTTTTTTCAAATCAAAAAAACTTGATATAACGTGGTTATCATTACAATGCACGATATTTCTCTAGAGCCGAGAATATGTATATTTATGTGGCAACTTCCAACTACTATTTTGAGGTGCAACCGAAGTTACTTTTCTTTTCGTTTCGGCTTCTACTCTTCCGAGTATTTAATTGTGTGCTTGTTATTGTTAGGTTACGTCTTCTACCATTCGAGGCCATTTCTTGATGATCAGACTCATCATATAACAGATAAGCCAGTGTCTGCCGTTCCTGGAGCACCTGTGGCATCTTCTGTTGCAGATAATGCCGCTCATCCATGGACACCGCCACCCAAAGTACCCGTCTCTGAGGATGAACAACGGCAGGTATTGCAATGGATGCTTGAGGAGATGCGGAAAGTAAACACTCAAAACAAAGCCGAGAAGGCCAGGATTGATGAAGACAAAAAGCTGTTGAAACAACTTTTGAGGGAAAGACACCTTCCTTCGCTTCCTTAGAATTCTAGGAGAATATTCTTGGTAAGACTGCATCCTCCAATTGGATGTTCTCTAGAGTTTTGGAATGAACTGATACCTTGTGACATGTTTTTGACTTGGAGGTCAGCAAAGATGGAAGTTATATAAGAAATCAGGGAAAGTGAATCAAAAGTGAGTCCATTAAAAGGATGAGATCTTGCAGAAGAGCCAGATTCATGTAGATGGGCTCCTAGATAGGTCTCTACAGTGATGCCTTTGTATTGAATTCCAATGTGTAGTCGCATTTTTGTAAATATCACGTTTGGGTTCTGTTTTTAATTACCTGTATCTGTTTCCTTTCTTCTTCTTCTTCTTCTTCTTCTTCTTCTTTTTTCTTCTCTTTCTCCTTTTCCTTCTCTTTTTTCCACTGCTTGAATACAATGGATAATGGTAGTCGGACAAAAAATGTTGCTCTTAGCAAGTAATTTGTTTGCACCAATGCACTTGATATATGGACTCCTTCCATGGCGTAGATTTTATTGACTTCATAAATTTCACAATCATATCTACTTGAACGGAAACCGATCAGTGATGGGTCTAGTAGAGCGAATTGCCTTGTTATATCATCAGATCCAGCGTATATATATGATAGGCAACTTCTGTCTTACAGATTTGAAATGCTACTGCCAATTTACTTCTTCGTGTGACGCCTCTTAAGCATTCGCCAGTTCCTGTTGTACAGATGAGACTTCAACACCTTTTCTTGCACATTTTACTGACCAACCGCAGCAGTCTGGCTCCGAATGTCCGCCAGGAGGTGATGGAGATTCTTGTTGCTGGCAAATATACCACCACCCTTGACTGTGAACACATCTTTGCTATTGCCAATGCTATCTGCCAGAGCTGTTCCCTCTAGATCTACAACCTGACCCCCAGCTTCTGAAACGCATATAGCCCCTGATGCATGATCCCACACCTTCAAAGGCGTTGAACGATCAGCTTGAAGAAGGAATGCAGATACTCCACCAAGAGCTACGGCAAAGTACTTGCACAAACTTCCACAGCATAGTGACAGGACTTGCATCTTTTCTTTCATCAAATGCTTGCCCGCATGGCTGGAAGCCAGCGCATGAGCCAGTGGAGATTTGGACCAAACCTCATTATCGGAGATACAAAACCAGGAATCAGGAACTGCTTTGGAATTATCCACTTCACTCTTCAACATAATGCTGTTTGAGCTAGTGCTCTCAGCGAGGGGCTGCACCCAGCAGCCTTCTCCCAAGCTGGCAGCCATTACAAGCCCACGTTGGTATATCTCATCAGGCTTGAAATGCTCTGATTTGAAGTATGTGCTTGCCATTTTAATGACAGTCCTATCTTGATTAAACTGTATTGCCACATTTGGGCAGCCCATCACACCAAGCACTGGTTTCCCATCATCAACTAATGCAAGACCCACTACATACAGAGCATTCCCACCTCTCAGAAATCCCCGTGTTCCATCGATAGGATCCAAAACCCAGTAAGAGCGTTGACGATCAGTGGCAGTAGAAGCAGACATAGCACCTCTGTCAATAGCATCTAGAACAATGTCACAATTCAACTTGCCAACCTCTGGAGAAACAACAGGAGCTAGGACATCCACAACAGTCTCTATTATTGTTTGCTTCCCCCAATCACCGCTTGCTAATTTCTCTTCATGCTCAGCACGCAACTGGCTTGCATTCTCCTCACCCACCAAAGGAATGCCAGGAAAGAGTCTTCCTAACTCTAAGCTGACAAAAGCTTGTACACTAAAATCCGCAATTGTCACAGGTGTATTATCAACCTTGTCTAGCTGCCCCTGCCCTTTCTGCATACCAGACTGGACAGAAGTGCATATTAGACAAGCTCGCTGAACCACATCCAAAGCTACCTGGAGCTTCTCGTGGTGTGCGCTTGCCTGTGCTGACGTGAATCCACGGTGGCACCTGAAAGGTCGTGACAAAGCCCGGCACGGGATCCTCAGGCACCGGCACTGCAGTTGCAAACCCTGAAATTCCTTACACACATTCAACCCTCTATAGCCAAATTCCGACACCGCAGCGAGCGCCATGATCCCCTACAACTCTTGTAAATTGTTGTACCCGTGCACAGCTCATTAAGCTGTATGGCCCTTCCCCCCTAGATATGACCCCAATTGAACGTACTGAACAATTGTCTGAACACAATCGTGGCATGCCGATTTAACATCACCATTTCGAATTTCGATACTTCATTCCGGTGGGTTAGGGTTTGGAAAGGTTTCCAAGTTCAACATGCGCGAAGCTCCACACTGTCCAGTTCGAAGTTACGAATGAAAACATCCGCACATTTATTATGTGTGTGCAAAACGATCCTAGACGCCCCTCAGTCGAAGATGGAGATGGCTACTCGATTAGGATGTATTTTACACCAGGTTAAATATCCTGTCTAAAAGCAGGAAAAGTGACCCACATGTTGGATGGGGTATTTGTATTTTGGAGTTCTGATCAGGTTAGACAAATGTTTCTTTGGATATTCCGTCGATTTTCGATCACCCATGTCTTTATCGGAATAATATTGGTGGTAAATCGTTGCTTCCGTTAATTTTACTTTCCCCTTCCTCATCTATCGAAACTATTTCGTGTTGCAATTACGAATTCAATAACATTACATGTCGTTGAAATAGGTCTCTTCTCCAATTTGTTACATCCAAAGAGTCAAAAAAACTGGTGGTATTATCTGAGTCGGGCCAGTGTTCACAGCACACTGCACCGCTCGACGAATACTGTCGACTAGCTATGGGCAGCAAGAGCATCAATGTCAGACCAGCAATAGGCCCTGTAGGCAAAACCCACAAACACTATTACATCCCTCATCAAACTGGAATGAAACAACACGATCCCATCAACAGCAATCCCAGATTATGAAGACTCCAAACAACATTATATAAAAAATAGCTTCAAAAGCTCAACTAAGTGACGTGGTCATCAGAGTATACGATAAACACTAACAATACAGAGTGTATCCTCAATTTTGCGAACACTGCCTGCAGCGCGATGGCGAGGGCGGGGGCACACAAGTGCTCCTAATCACTCAAATTAGAATGTTCGTCCTTCTCCATCGCCTTCTATCGTTTGCTTAGCGGACAGCAGGGGCAATAATCCGCCAACCGAAACCCACTCACAACTTCTGGGTACATACCCAATTGAGCCAGACCCAAAACCTCTGCGAACCAATTGACGAAAATCCAAAGGTGACGGTAGCGATCGAGGTTCCGGAGCGATCAGATCAGCCCGAGATTTTGAATGTGATTCTCGGCCATAGTCGCCTTCACCGATGCGGGAGCATGAAGATTTCATCCACTTGTGGATGAATATCCTCACTTCCCGTTCGTCTGCGCGAGAACATTCATTCATCTCATCATCGTTCCAGTGAGATTTGTCAATGTGTACAATATGTAGAGGGTGTGATGAATAATAAGGAAGGATTCCATGTGAAATAAAGAAAATGCATAATTAAACTAATATCAGAATCAAGAAAATTTATGGGTTAACTTGTATTTTTATTTTGTTAAGTAAAATATTAAATTTTGTTTACTTAAGATGTCTCTAGAGCAAAAAATAATAAATTGAATTAAGTTTAAAATTTTATTTTTTGTGGAAACATACTTGGTTTTCATGAAAAAGTATGTATACATTTATTATTGTTGAATTGATCTTTGGATTCTTCTCTTCTTTTTCCTTACACTGTCTTTTGGTTGTATATAGTAAAATATGTGCATTATGCAAAAAAAAAAAAAAAAAAAAAAAAAAAAAAAGACTTAAACAAATGCATATATACATATAGTTGATTTGTAGATTCATGATAAAATTGAACAAAAAAGCTTTTCAAATGTGTTTTTTAAAACTATGTAAAAAATAAACAGAATATTTGTAAACAAACATATATACTAAAAACTAAAAAAGTATACAGATGTTAGCTCTTTCTTTTCAATGGGTTCATTTAATGAGATTTAATTATATATACAGTGACAAACAAAACCGAGTACAAAATCTGAAGTGCCAACTTTCAAGAGCAACTACAGAAATTTCAATGATTGCTTTATAAATCTGAAACTTACATGGAATAATACACACAGTCTTGTACACATGTACAAAGTTGCACATCAAATTGATAACTAAACATCCTTCTACAAAGTCAAATCAACAACTATGTCTTGTACTCAGTATTGGTCAAAGAAAATCTTCAAACTTCAATATTTAGTCCAATAACCTTTTGCTTCCAAAACAGCTGAAATCCTTCTTGGCATACTTTTGTATAGTTTCTCACAATCTTTTGCATCAAAACTAGGGTAAATACTACAAACATTCTCCCACAATTCTTGAACACCTCTTGGCCTTGGAGTGACTTGGCTTAAACGCTGTTTGAGAAGGGCCCAAAAATGTTCCATTGGATTCAAATCTAGAGATTGAGCTGGCCATCGAAGGAGCTGAAATGGCTGTGAAGAGAGCCAAAACTGAACACTTTTTGCCGTATGTTTGGAATCATTATCATGTTGAAAAACCACCTTAGTAGGATCTAAGTTGTAATTCTGTGTGGTACTTTGCAAGTAGGTTTCTAAAATTTTTTTGTACAAGTGTTGCTCCATTCTACCTTCAATTTGATACCAAGCACCCAGCCCAAAAGCAGTCATACAACCCCAAATCATAACTGAACCACCACCATGTTTGACAGTTTGACTAACATGTTTAGGTCCAGGTCGTTCTCCTTCTCTCAACCAACACCAAGACCTACCATCTAAGTTAATTAGGTTAATCATTGTCTCATCACTGAAAATAACCCGTCTCCAATCATCAACGGTCCAATTTTTGTATTTATGAGCAAAACTCAACCTTGCAAGAACATGTCTTTTGGCAAGTAGAGGCTTCTTTTGTTGCACACAAGCATCCAAACCAGCTTCTCTCAAACCACGCCTCAAGGTGATGTCTGAGAAGTGTTTACCTGTTTTTTCTCGAAGTTATTTTGCAGCTGCACTTGCCGTTTTGAGACAACGAGCAGTGACAAGGTGCACACCAAGTCGCTTCTCTTGCTCTCCTAAAACCTTTGGACGTCCTCCTCTTTGCTTTTCTATTTCACCACTAATCTCCCTCCTCAGATGAGCTACTGAAGATTGACTCATTCCAAGTGAGTCTGCAACTTTTCTTGTAGAAACACCACTCCTAAGTTGCACCAATGCTTGGTGCTTCAATGATTCACACAACCGAGGCATAGAGATACAATTGACAAATCAACTTTTACTATAGATAGTACACAACAAGAGCAACACAACAAACAAAAAATGCCCTCAAATCTTGCAACAAGGAGTGTACATTGAAATTTCGAAATTCAACAAGAAGAAGCAACCAAAATTGAGTACGCATGTCTGTGTGCTTCTACAACACTTTTCTCATAAACCCTACCTCAAATGATAATGAGATTTTTCATCCATGTAGAGGACTGGATGAATACACACAATAAAAAAGTAATTCTATCAATTGACTTATGTGTCAGTTGGAAGGATCAATGAACTATGAGTGTTCAGATTTTGTACTCGGTTTTGTTTGTCACTGTATATATATATATATATATATATATATATATGTCATCATTAACTCTCAGGTGAAACAAGAATATTTTAAATTGAGTTAACTAGGTTAGGATCTTTTGCCTAAGTCTTGAAGCTCAAATGACAATGCCTATCATTTTATTCCAATATAAGAATAAAACTAAGGCCTTAGCCTTACTAAAAAAAATCTTTCATATAATGTGACAAAATTATGCTTAAATGAACTATGAAGGGTGGCGGGGATAAAACATGAAATTTAAAGAACAAAAATATTAATTGTTTTGAAACTTAGATGTCTTTAAGTTTGCAGGTGATTGCAAATTAATTAGGGTTGTATGAAATTGACTACATTTTTATATCACAAATTCATAGTTACCTGTTTAAACCTTTGATACCATGTTTTGAAATGCTAGGTTGATAAGTTTCATTTTAATTATTTTTTTTTTCACTGCTTAATAGCAAAATCACACCTTGCACAACAGAAAGTCAACCATAAGTCTCTAAATAAAAAGTTAATGTAAGCTGAGCTGGCAATTTGTTATACATGTCTAGAAAATAAAAGCTGATTAGCATGTGAATAAATAAATGAATAAATAAAATGTTAAGAAAGCACATAATATGAGATAAGATGTGCATCTCCTACATGTCTTAAGTTTGATAGTATTGTACAAGTTCTTCAACTTAACATGGGAGCACTTTGAATAGGTTGTATGAATGCATTCTTTGGATATCTTCATGTAGAGAGAGAAATTTGAAGAGAAAAGTAAAAAATAAAGATGAAGCTTTGCTACTTCAAATGCTCTATGTATTGGTGTGATTATGTTCTTATGAAATGGTATCAAATAAGCGGTGTACATTTAAAAAAAGACTATTGGATTTTATTACTATTAATAAAATAATATTTCAAATAAGATAAAATAAATCATTTGAATAAACTAGAGCCTCCTTCAAGAATGGTTTCTCTTAACTGAAGTATTTCCGAAGTCAGATCATCAATCAGCTAACTAAATCCTTGAATACCATGTAAAAGATGTTTTTGTTTTATTTTCAAGTTTGATTAATATCTATATCATTTAAAATAAAATAAAATAAAATAATCAGTATAATATAGAAGATTTAATTTGGTTTCATTTGTGAACTATACAAAAAAATATGAGCCATCAAAAAAGTTAGAATATCAAATGTTAAGCTCATTTAAAATTGTTGACCAAATACCTCTACTTAATTCTTATCTTGAGCTTTTATTTAGTATATATATATATATATAATCTCATATTTTTTTCTTTGAAGTTTTTCATAAATCATGCAATCTAAAAAAAGATGTTTTCTATCAATTTTAATCACAAATTAAATGTAAAATAAATAAGGTCTTTAGTTTTTAACACAACTCGAAAGTTGTAGAATGATTGATATATTAAAAATATAAAAAACTAGCAAATAAGCACAGAAGTTATTCTTCAACCTAACTACCACACTAATAAAAAAAATTAGTAATAATATCCTAATAAATCAAGACACAAATATATATATATATATATATATATATATATATATATATATAAATGTATTTTCTAAGTGATGCTTTATACTTGGAGAACAAAACTAGTCTTAACTTTTAAATACTTTGATAGATTGAAATTAAGAAGCCTTCTCAAGTTGGCTTTATATCTAGAAAAATATACCTTAAGGTCCTAAAAAAAGAATGAGGTAAAATGTATTTTTTTTGCATATAGCATAAATAGTGTTGTCTCACAGAATTTTTGTTAAGTCCATTTTAAATAAGAATTTTTTTAGAATAATTAAAAATCTTTGTTAAAAAATGAAAAAATAGCCATATATATATATATATATATATATATATATTTCTACACTTCTTATAATTATTTGAATAAAAATATTGAATAATACATTTTAACTTTTAATAATGGAATAATTAAGTCTAAGTCTCTTTTTACTTTATACTATATTCAAATGTCAAGACTTCTATATGAGGGCTTTTTTTTTTTACCAAGTGGAAAGTTTAATAAGGCTTTCAAACCATGGCCTATAAAGTGGGCTTGTAAATATGATTTTTCCTTAAGAAATGTAAATGAAGAATAAAAATAAGTCAAAGCTTGTTTGTATTTTTTTGTTTTTTTTGATAAATTAAGTATTTTTAATTTTATCTTTATAAATTTAACATATTAAATGAAAGAATCTTTGTAAAATCTTATAACGTCAAATTTAAACTTTTTTATAGTGGTTTTGGAACCAATCAAAATTATTTTGTACGATGTTTATTGTTACAAAGACATCTTCAAGATGTAGTAGGACTTCTTTAACATCAAATACAAACTTGTTATTAGTAGCTTTGGCATAAAAGTTTTAAAAGTATGTTTACTTTTTGGTTACAATTTTTAGAATTAAATTTTGTAATCAAGAGATTATTTTTTATAAATACTTTCAAAGATTAAAATAAGATTAATGTATTAAAATGAATTTATTTCTACTAAGAAATTGAAATTCTAATTGTTGGTTAAAGAGACTTATGTATGTATTTTGAAGAAATTCAAAAGTAAGATTTGAAAAAAAATTGAAAAAATCTTTGATATTTTAGACATATAAAGAAATAGGTTACCAAAAGCTCTTTTCAAAAAACATTACTAGAAGAGAAGGTAATATCATAGACATAAAACAAACCA